AAAAAAAAAAAAAAAAAATGGTAAAGGCTTCTAAACAGCACAAGTGCTTGAGATAAGGACACAACACTGGCTCTACTCTACTTTAAGAGGCACAGGCTAAAAAGGGACCCTGAGGGAGCTGTGCTGCAGGTGCCGAGGGTCAGACAGCACAGAGCTGGACCCCAGGCCTCAGGCCGAGCTGCCTTCACGTATGTCACCTCACTGGGTCCTCACCACCCAAATGACAGCTGGTACTGGCCTCCCTCCAGGATGGGGAAAAGGGAGCTGAAAGGGCAAAGTAAGAGGCTCACCCAGGTTTAAAAACAGAGCAGAGTCTGAAAGTAACGACATGCGGCAGAGCTCACCTGGCCTCCTGAGCCCGAATTTCACCTTAGCGTGCAGCAATCAGACAGGACCGGGCAGTGTGCAGAGAGGAGACTCCTCCGTAAACAGCACCCATGCAGTGCTCATCACACGGAGCACAGAGGGTCAAAGGGACGGTGGTGGCCTGGGTACAAGTGACCCAGGGACCACCCAACTGTATGTAGCACTGGGGACAGAGAAGAGGCCATGGGCTGTGAAAAGGAAAGAGCCTGCGGAAGTGGACCGTGGATGGTGTGATCTCACCTGGACCTCAACATGCAACTTGTTCAGCTAGAAAGTGCAAAGCCGTGCACTTCCAAAACTCAAGCAGGGGACAGCCTCTGCCCCAGGAAAGATCAAGACAGCAGTGACAAAAGGGACAAGAAGCCACTGATACAAGGTGGAAATGGGCCCAGGACAGTAGTGGACACCACGAGCTCAAAGGGAGTCCAGACACTCCAGGGAATGCAAGTGACTTCCACCACTTTCCTCTGTTCACAGGCAGTAACCAACCACCCTCTGTTTGACAACGCCAGGGGCATTACAGAACGCAGAGAGGAGCAGAGCAATATGCAAGGCGGCACTGCTTCGGGCAGGAGTACTCGCACGACCCTTCCACCACCCACACACGGCCTGCAAACCCCAAGACCGAGCACTCAGCACACAAAATTGCCTAGCTGGACCACGGCGCTTTCAAGTAAGGCCCTGGGCTTAGCCTGGAGCAAATGCCATGTCTGAACCACCTGAACTCTCATACACGCCCTGGTGTTTTTTGCAGTCAAGTAATAGGATGACAGCCTCTTACTCAGGTGAAATCTCCAGGCACGCATGACCTACTGATGCATGGCCATCTCCCAGCCCCACCCAGGGGTCAGCAGCCAAAGTAGGTTCTCTGCATCACATTGTTCCACACACACAAAGGAATCTTGTTTCCAGGTGCAAAATGGTATCTTCCTCATCTGCCTGATTAGATTCCTAAGGCAAGAAAATTAATTTGATAAAATTTCTTAAATTCCTGACTTTGTGTTTCAACTATGCTAAGCTCAAAAGAATTTCTCCTCTAGAGATAAACTAAAATAATTTCACTTCACGTAGATTTTTTTAAAAGTTTCCATCTTTTAACATGTTCATAACGGGCCTAAAATTTGTGACTTGCTGCCAAGCAGCTTGAACAATCAATGGTACACATGTGACTCTCCCATCAGGCAGCTTTATTAATTTTACTAGTAAAACGACCAATAAAAGTGATTAGGTCTGTTTGCACCACCAGCGGTACAAGTCACCTGATGGCCCAGTCATGCGTGTACTACCGTAGTTCAAGCTGGCAGGAACACATTAAAGAGTACTGCAAACTAGTAGCCAGTTATTTAGTACTCTGGGGTACACAAAAATATGCTACTGTATTATAAATTATTACCCCACCAGTGTTTTACTTAAAGAATCAATTACTCATGGGCCTGTTATAAAGGGGCCCAACAATGCCTGTGCCCCTTGGGGTCCCTGGTGTGGGACAGGATAGGGTTTGGACAGCCTGCTTCTGTCCCAGGGGTTTGGGAGTCACCCAGCCCACTCGGAGGTCTGACCAGACAGCAAGTGGGATGTACATGTGTCCTCTGAATTATACAGAACATCCTGTACACACCCGTGTGAGGCTTTCTGGGTAAAGAGGACACTGAGGCCCTCCCCTTGCTAACATGTCCGTGATTCCATGGACAGTAAGGGGTTGAGTAGACTTTTTTAAAGCTAAGGTTCCCTAGTATTTGGGATTACTGGCATGCACCACCCTCACTGGCTGGAACAACTCTTTGAAGGCAACACGTTCACTCCAGCTGAACGACTCAGTACCTCACTCTCACTCACTGGCTTCTTTCACACCCATGTCTGCCACTAAGCTCCACCCCTACAGCCCGGGCACAGCTTGCCAGTGTCATCCACGCTGCTGCCTACGTCCATGCACACATGCGCTATCAGAGAAGCTGCCCTGAACCACACCGCGTCCACATCGGCCTAGTGGGGTGTCCTTCGCTGCCAGCCTCCAGCCTCCAGCCTCCTGTGTAAGCCAGCATCACCCTTAAAGACCCACAACGAAACTGACCTCCGAGGCACTAAGCCTCATCCCACTGAGAGCAGATACTGCTTCTGAACAGTCGGTCAATGTAAGTAGTAGCCATGCAAACAACAAACTAGAGGCCAGGGCACGCTCAGAAGAGGCAGCCCCCCTCCTGCCCAGTCTGTGGACACGGGGCCAGGGTGCTCACTGTTAGGAATGGGCCCACTCACCTCCAGGAGCCGCAGCTCCTGCACGCAGCTGTGTAGCAGTTCCAGGGCGCGTTGCGCCACCTCCCATGGCCGCTGCAAGAACAGGAGCAGGGTGCACTGGCGCGAAAACAGGTAGCTGCGCAGGTCCAGCAGGGTGGCCTCCCGCCTCTGGATCAGCTCCCGCTTCTCCATGTCTATAGGCTTGCGGAGCACCAGACCATTCCAGCTCTTCACCGGCTGGCAGAAAAAAGTCAGCCAGTTGGCACCATCTAAATAAACACATACATGAAAGGCGCTGGCACAAGGCACCTCATCTGCCGAGGCTCCTGCTCGGGACCTGGGCCCCGTGGGAGAGCAGGAAGCTTCCCTGCCCGTGTCCAGCCCACCAGCTTGCACAGCACGGGCTCTCACTAAGTTGACAGTCTGGCTTCCAGCTCACAACCCTCCTGCCTCCGTCCCCCGAGACGTGTGCCATTTGTGTTTTGCTAAGAACATCTGAGTCTCAGAGCTGTGTGTTCTATCGGGAGCCCTGGCTGTGAGGCCTCCCACAAAGACAGCCCCTCAGGTCCAGCAACAGACAGCTGACCCAGGCAGCAGCACATCGTCTTACCACGCCCAGGAGATGCTGAGATGGAGAGACTGAGTCAGGCAGCCAACCAGGGACAGGTGGGCTCGGAGATGGGGACACCCCAAGCTACAGTCAGTCAGGCTGAGGAGGTCCCGGGCCAGAGGTTGGCCAGCTGCCTTATCAGTCCCTGGGGCTGGGGTCTGCCTGCTCCCCAGCCATCTGGGCGGGCGGGCGGGTGGGCACACGTGTCCCGAGTCTCCAGACTGTCCCTCCTCGTTTCCCTAATTCGACCGTACTACCTGCCTGAGTGGAGCTCCAGAGAATAGGGCATAAAGAAGAGGGGAAATCCTCACTTGTCAAAGCTTTAACCCGGCTCGCAACAGAACACACAGCTCTGAGACTCACATATGATCACAGACAAGCACAAATGGCACACGCCTAATCCTAGCACTCAGGAGGCTGAGGCAGGAAGATTGTAAGCTGGAGGCCAGATCAGGTAGGCAACTTAGCAAGACTCTGTCTCAAAAGAAAGGAAAAGGGCAGGGATGCAGCTCAGTGCTCCCAGTACCACAAAACATTTTGAACGACTTAAAGAATTTATAATAAAAGTCATTCGATCTTTATGAAAGAAACTGTTGAATCTGTTTTTCCCACTCCTAACGAAAGGCGCTGCAGCCAGTGTGCTGCTGTGCTATAGTCAGGAAGCTCAGGGCCGGTGTGCAGCACACAGTACCCTTCAGAGGTACCCATCAGAGGCTGACTGCAGCACACGGCACCCTCGCTGCCGAGCACCTCACTAGGAACACTCAGGCACACACGGGTAAGCCCTGCAGGCACGGTCCCCGGCCAGGCCCCACCCCAGCTCACCCACGTCCATGCCAATGGGCCACCCCAGCCGCCCGGTGATTCTCCTGCCTGAACCTCCAGAGTAGCTGGCATCTCAGGTATGAGCCACCCATGGAGCTGAAAATGGCTCTGTGTGTTGGGGTGGGGGGTGGTACTGGGGACTGAACCCACTGAGCTGTTGCCCAGCCCCTTTCTTATTTTGAGACCGCATCTCACTAAATCAGTTTGTTGCTCGGGATGTGGAAACAGCTAAGGGCTTTTGCTCCTTGAGATTCTTCTAAAAGGCAAAGTGACCAATTTTTAACTCTCATTTCATTTCCTACAGGAGTCTTACAAGCTCACCCTGCAGAGCGCAATGCAACACCACCACCGGGGAAGACTCATCACCGGAGCGGCTACTCACCCCCAGCCCCAAAGTTGACGACGTACTGCGAGAACAGGGCGTCCAGCTCATCATACTGCACCAGGGCATCTTCGAATTGCTGCAGCATCTCAAAGACGAAGGCAAGCTCCTCCTGTTCACCAGAGAACAGGGGTCAGCTCTAAAGTCAGCGCAGCCACAGGTGCGAGAGCGTGCGGCTCCGGGAGGAGGCTCCTGCCACCTGCATGCGGACCCACCTGACAACCCCACAGCGCGCTCATGGAGGGACAGGCCCGGAAAGAAGTGGGAAAGACCCAGGTGACGTGTGAGCCACTGGAGCACAGGACACAGCGGCATCTCAGCTGGGCCTTTCCTGCCAGCCCCATGAGTGGTGCAGCTGCTTTTCCATTTCCTTCCTGGTCTCCACCTGAGACCCTGAGGCTCAGCCCCAGACACGGGCTTCACATCTCTCAGCACACCCAACTGCCTCATCACACAGCCGCTGTTCACAGCCAGCCAGGGGACGAGGGCTGGGGAGACTGCAGAGCACCACCCCGATCTCCATCTGCCCCCCCCCGGCACCCATCAGTCTCACTCTTGCCTGTGCCTTTACTCAGGCACACACAGGTAAGCCCTGCAGGCACGGTCCCCCCTGCAGGCAGGGAACTTCGTGTTCTCGCGCACATTTACTCGCTGGAATGCCAGATGGGAGAGCTGAACTTTCTCCCCTGACCTTTTTCAAACAACTACCTGTTTCCATCACACAGAAGCATGGATGTTAGCTTTAGTCCCTGGGCGACAACCCATTCTGTCCTTATCCATTTGGCCCCCGGCCCTCAGCAGACTTCCTAGAGTGGGCCTTATGTCCTCAGATGAGGGTCTCTGTGACCCTCCTCCCTTCCCGGTTCTGTAAGACATTCCAAGCCCACCCTGCATATCAGCTGCCCCAGCCCTGCCATCACATCGTCCCAGGAGCTCCGGGACCTGTTAGTGGAGGATGAGTCTGGAAACCAAGATCTCAGCACTAGGCACACCTCCTGCTACCAGGGCGCCCTTGCTTCTGGCTGGCAGAGGACAGAGCAGGGAAACACTGGCCCCATGCACACGTCCACAGGCCTTTCCATCCTGAATCTGCCTGCCCACCTACCACCTCTCCATGGCTCACACTGACACCTCTTCCAGCCCCACATCCTGGTTTCCTGTAGCCTCTGCCTTGCCTGTAATTCCAGCAGACTAAGCCTAACAACTTAAGAGTGAAGAGACGGGAAACCAGAAAGGTTTACCACATACCAATCAACAGCAAGTTAACACGTTCCAACATGAGGATGTGTACCGAACAATCCAAGTATCCCAGAGAGAGCCTCAGAGTAGGAAATCAAAATTTCTCATCAGAATGGTTCTACTGTTTATTCAAAGTGCATTCTTTCTTCAGAAATTAACACACAAATGCTATCTGGTATGAAACGGCCTTCTCTGTCAAGAGATGGAGAACACAGACTAGGGACCCTGAGAGCAGCACTCCTGTCTGGTTACTACTGCCCACTCCTCTGTTCATGGAAGACTTTTCATCTTACAAGGGAAAGAGCTCATTAAAATGACAGTTTTTAAAAGACTTAACATTTTGGTGAATTACAGTAAACATAATCTTTTGCTGGAACCCAGGTCGTGACACAGAACCATGGAGGCCACGTCCTCAGAAGCCACCCTTCAGTCCCGCAACACCGCAGGCTGTGAACTAACACCTTTGTCCTGGGCGCAGCCCCCTCTGTGGAATCCACAGCGGACAGATGCAGAGGCGTCCACCGCCCTCTGGGCTTCATCAGCTGTGGAAGGGAGAGGCCTGCTCTGGCTACTGCACTGTCCTGAAAAATGGGCCGTGAGAATCCCCCAGAAAGCTGCCCTCTCAGACAGCGAGGAGGTGCAGTTGGCCAAGTACCTGGACCATGAAGTAGTCACAGAAGCTCCAGCCCGGCTCTGTCCTCTTCTCCCTCAAGGTGCGCATGTCGTCCTCAAACTTGCCTAGGTTTTTGGTAAAAGACATAAGAAGCAACGTCCTGAGTTTGGTCAGGAAGGCATTCCAGGATTCCTGAGTTCGGGAAGAGTCCTTCAAAGGGTCGGACAGCACGACACACCTGCAAAGACACGAAGGCCTGTCTGAAGCCTCACACACAGTGCCACCTTCCGCTACTGCTGGGAGCACCAGGCGGGGCCAAGCAGGTCACTGCAGGGGCAGCAAGTGCTACAGGAGCCCAGGGGGTATGCTGTAGAGCAGCCTAGAGAGGCCACTGGGAGTTCGAGGCCCCTCAGACCTATCCTCAAGATCTCTGCCAGTTCTTCCCACTGGCCAGATGAAAGGCACATTTCTCAACCTGGCACAGGAGGACCACGGTCCAAGCTTGCCATGTGGCTTCCTTCGACTCCTCCTACCCCAGCCAGGCCACTGACACCTTGAGCCCTCCCATATCCTTGGGCACACACTCCTGCTCACCCAGCTGTCACCTGTGCAGGCAGCCAGCTGCTTGTTCTGGGACCACACTGCTGCCCAGAGGACCCTGGAGTAACCCTCCTTTCCTCCCGGCAGATCTGCCGCTTCACGAGACTAACCTTTTCAGAGGCGGTGTTACTAAAGATGCAGCCTAAAGCTCGGCAGACAGGCCTAACCAACAGAGGCACAAGCAAGGCATAAAGGCACCAGACATCATACTGTAAGAATGCTCTGGTGCCTTGGAAAGGTCCTGAATTTGTCCACTGGGAGGAAATGGTATCTTTAGCCTTGAGAATAGTAGTTGAGAAGGAAGATGAATAAATATGAACTCAGAAATGGCTTTGAAATCTTGATACTCTGAGCTTCAATACCTCTCCTTTGTGGTATTTTACCTGCGCTACCAAGAAATAGAAATGAGTTCCATGTTCTCTGCCCCAGCACACCCACTATAGAGTAGACTAGATCCAAGCAACCATGTCACCAGACAAAAAGTGGCATAGCCTGTAATCCCAGCACTCAGGAGGCTGAGGCAGAAGATTTGAAAGTTCAAGGCCAGCCCGGGCTACATAGTGAGTTCAATGCCAGCCTGAACTGCACAGTGAGACTCTATGAAAAAAAAAAAAAAAGTGACACAGCAACACCTACACAGTCCACCATGTGAGTCATGAAAACCAAGAAGAAAACTGAAAACCACCCTCCCCAGGCACTCCACCCCAGACAAACTCTTCCCTGACAGGCAGGGTGCCCGAGGACGGAAGGGGCATATTTGCTCTCTGAACTGCTGGAGTCTTTGGGCTCAGGAATTCGTCCCTACAGCATTCTCAAGGGCTGTAATCGCAACATAACTGCTGACCAGACATGAATTCTCTGCAGAGAATAAGAAGGAAACTGCTGTGCCAACCGCCGAGACCGAAGCTTCCTGCAGTGACCCAGTGTTTATCAACAGACATAACACGCTCACTTCACTTCATCTTTATCAGGCCCTTCAACTTCTACCACCTGGGTCATCATCTTTTTCTACTAAGCAAGTCCTGCTTCGCAAACTCATAGCACATGCACGGCGATGGATAAACTAAGAAAGGGAGGTCAGAGCCACCCACGACATCAGTGTCCCCAGGCACAGGCTTCAGCCAACAGAGCCGCTGCTCACAGATCTGTGGCATGGAGTGAGGGGCTGGGACTTGGCAAGGCACTCACTGCCCCTGCAGCTGCTACAATCAGTCAATAAGCTAAACTGACTCAGCTGCACTGCCAGAAGCCTGACAATGCACAAAACCTGGTACTGAGCAATTTCCTTTAAGGAGTTTTTCCTAAGGAAGTGATCAGGATGTTCACATCTGAGCTACAAAGATGTTCATGATATTGCTGCTTAGGACAAGAGGTAAGCAATAACCTATCAGCCCTGCAGAGGACTACAGGAAGGAGTTGTGGCACACTAATGCAATGGAATATTATGCACTCACTAAGTGATGGTACAGAAATCATCTACTATTCAGAGATCTTTACTATGTAGTAAGTGAAAATAGCAGAGACAACATCATATGCAGTATGGTTTAACACACATGTGCCTATGCATGCATAATGAGAAAAAGGGCAGGAAAGACAATGCAATACCTAGGTAGCATATATTTCCTCTCTGCTCATTATCCTTCTTTTAAAGTTCTATAAAGAACACGTAACACAATCAGAAATTAAAAACATACAAAGCTCAGAAAAACAGTAAACACTTCAGGACCTTGTGTTCCAGTATTTTCAAGGGCTAGAAATTATATTATGAATGAAACAAGTGTCCTAACCAAGTACACTAAATTCAAATTTATTAGAACCTGACCCAGTCTTCTATTTTAAGAAAAAGAGACATGTTAAAAAAAAAAAAAGCTTTACAAATTAATGAAGACCAAAATGGTACAAGGCACGTTTAACCTACAGAGAATGACATGTTAAAACTTTTAGTACGCTGAATTTAAGCATAAAGAACAGCATTAAAAGCCAAGTTAGTTTCAACCAGCTCAAATGAAACACAACTCTGTCAATTAGATAAAAATTAATCAGAGTTAAAAGGAAGCACTATGCACTTTAAAAACCACCACCACCCACCAGGACATTCCCTGAGTTCAGACTAATACGCCTCAGGACCACCACTCACTGAACACAGCCCTGCCCTTCCAGTCCGTGCTCCCTCCTCACTTGGCTCAGAACACAATCTCACACACGCCTGAGCCCTGTTGTGCACGCCTGACTCTGCTGTGTACGCCTAAGCCCTGGGAGGGATGCTCAGTTTTACGCAGCACCTTGTTCATGTGTCACGCTGACCTCTTCTGATTAGCTAATTCTTGAAGTACTAAGTTAAGAAAAATTGCCACAAGTCCAGACTGCATGAAATTTCTCTAAAATACGTCAGGATCCATGAAGCTGGTTTGAACAGTACCATGTGCCCAGGACTGTGTGGACCAGGAAAAGGATCCTCCCCGGGGCTCTGCCCGAAGACCAGTTAGCCCTCTGGGGTGACAATGACAGGAATCTCCATGCAGTGAGATAATTGGGGGGCCCTGACTATGGCACTTCAGACTGGCTCCTCCTGCAGCCTTTCACAGCACTGGAGCCCCTGCTACACGGTGGCCACTGGAAGAGAGACTGGGGCCCTGGGTGAGGACAAGCAGCAGCCTGTAGGCCTGGGCCCAGTGATATGGCTATCTGGGAACAGCAGGAAGGAAGGGAGCAGGCACAGCAGGAGAGCAGGGGTCTAGGCCAGCACAAGGGCACTCCACACAGTGCTACACTAGTTAGTACTGCAGCAGAATCTAAGGGACCACTCCCTGCCAGCACAGCAGGGTTTCCAGGGCCAGGCTTCAGAGACAGGCCACCGTGTGGTCTCCCCTGTCTCTCACGCTTGCCAACCAGACCAGAAATCGGGGGTGCAGGCCCCACAAGCCCAGGAAGTCAGCAACCTGCACCAGCCCAACAGTAGTCAAAGGAGGCGAGAGAAAGGTGCACTTACCTGTCGCTCTGCTTGTTACAAAAGTCATTTCTTATTTTGTCCACAATGGAAGTTCGAGGAAGGATGTTGGTTTTGTTTTTTTTCTTGGCATCATTTTCAACTACTACTATTAACCAGTCCACAGAGCTGTGAGCTTTCAGAACATTCTGCCACTTGGTGAGGTCGTCTTTTACCGTAGCTTTGTACACTTCCGTGTCCTAAAAATAAATAAATCACTGTGAACACAAGTCCCTCAATGCCCTGTGCAGTACATGGCACAATTCGTCCGATGACTGTCAATGGCCGCAGCATGCAGCTCTCCCCAAAGGCAGCACCCTGGGGCTCTGAGCACTGGGAAGCTCTCCAAGGCAGCACTGTGTGCATGGCAGGGCAGGATGGGGCAGCCCCAGTCTGCTGCAGTGAAGACTGTGCCCAAGCACAGCGGGACAGCCACAGTGCCTCTGGCAGCTGTACACTGGAACCCGCAGGCCAACTCTTGGTACTGCTCACAGGCAACACTCTGAGAGCACTGGGACCCACTGGGACCCTGAGGCCCTCGCAGGCCATACCAGAGGCACCAAAGCTTCCAAGGGGAGGCTGAGGGAAGACCACCTGCGGTTCAGCTCCTTCACTCATGAGGGCTGGACCGCCCCTCAGTCCATCCCCTCTCCTTCCATCCCAGTGCCGACCTGCCAGAGAAACTGTCCCTCTTCATTAGAGCAATGGGCCAGCTCAGGTCTCCTGCAGTGCGGCCCAGGGAAATAGGTACTCTTCTTATTAACTGTAACTTTATCTTTTCTTTTTTCTTTTTGGGTGCTGGAATTGAACACAGGGCCTTTGGCTTGCTGGGCAGGCACTGCATTGCTGGGCTATATCCACAGCCCTGTGACTTTATAAATGTCCTCATGCACCACCAATCTACTCTGTAGGCTCTAATTCCAATTATTCAAACAGTCCTTGAGATGTAGCATATCACACAAGCTCAAGGAGGCAAAAAACTAGAGCTGAACAGAGGAAGCAAAGGACCCACGTGGCACTCCTGGAGATGAAAAACTACAACACCTACAACGCAAAACACACTGGGTAAAACTAAAGAGATCGAGACTGCAAAAGAAAAGATCAGCCACCATTAGGATAAGCGCCAGAAATCAACCAAACACAGCACAGAGAGAAAAAGCCTTGGAAAACAGCCAAACAGCAGTTGATCTGGGGGCTACAAGGGACGGCATATCGACTGATATAATCCCAGCACTCAGGAGGCTGAGGCAGGAGGACCACTGCAAGTTCCAGACCAGCCTGCGCTACGAAGTGAGCTCAAGGCCAGCCTGAACTGCAAAGCAAGACCCTGTCTCAAAAAGACAAAAAAAAAAAAAAAAAGAGTATCTGCATGCCAGATGACATACCGCTATGAAGACAAACAGACACAGAAACACCACCAACAAAAGACCACCACACTAAAGACTACCAACAAAAGACAGGCCAAGTGGACGGGGGCCAAACCGTAGGAACCTTGCAGTACAGTCAGGAAGATCTTATGGACACATATTTTCACACTAAGTCTAAACATGAAGGAAATACATTCTCAAGCACACAAGGCAAAGCCACAAAATTGATCAGTTACTAGGTCACAGAAAACATAACATATACAAGGCAGAAATACCTAACCAAAGCTTTCTGATCACAATGCAAGAAAATGTGAAAAATTTTAATGAAAAACTTTTAAATTTCTCTTCCTGGAAACCAATAAATGGTAAACAACTACTGGGTAGGAGAAATACAGAAAATAGATAATTTCTGAAAAATAATGATAAAACACTGAGACATATTTAAAGTAGTAATCAGAGGAAAATCCTTTACTTTAGAGGCCTGTTATCAATAAAAATATAAGAGTGAAAATAAATGCATTCCCAAAAAAACAGAAAAATAACAAAGCAAACCATAAACAATAAAAATAAAGTAATATTAAACATGAAAACAAATTAATGAAGCAAAAAACAGGTTAACAAACTAATAAATATCCTGACTCTTAGAAAACCTACAACTAATTTAATAAAAGAAAAAAGAAAGAACAAATACACGAAGTAAAAAATCACAGGGAAAATTTAGGGCACATTTTCAAAACCAAAAAAGACCACATCTCAATGAAAATAAATTTTAGAACTTAACTGAAATGCATACTTTCTCCTAAAAATATAATGTATTAAAGCTAACAAATGGCTGGCACAGACCAATCTCCAGAAAGCTATCACAGAAGTACCCAACAAGTAGGTACCTGCCCAGCTGGTTTCACAGAATTCCAGCAGACCCGAAAGGCCACACGGCAACAAGGAAACAGAAACCGCTTCAGAAACAAGAAAGTAAATGGAAACTCCCCAGGTCCTCTTATGAATCAAATACACTGATACCTTATCCTCATAAAGACAGCACAAAAGTTACAGACCAACCACTTGTGACTACAGATGCAGAAAATCCTAACGTGACCAGACTCCAATATGACACTACAAAAGTAAGACTCTGACCAGGTGGGACTTACAGCAGGAACGCAGGTCTGGTTCTATGTAAGAAACTCAAGAACACAACTCAATATAGACACAAGGTGGAAATAGCAGTTAGCCTCTGAAAACACAGCTGATAAAACTCACCTCGTATTCTTAGTAAACACTCCAGAAAACGGGAAAAGATGGACACTTCCTCCCCCTGAGCACATACCTCAACCTGACAGCCCGTATCCTGCAGCACTCCTAGGAGGTCAGCCACAAGGCAGAGACGCCCACCACCTCGATGCCCTGACGTCTGACGGTGTCTTAGACCAGGGAAGACAGAACTGGAGAAGAGGTCGAGGTAGTGCATGCCTGTAATCCCGCACTTCGGGAGGATGAGGCAGGAGGACTGCAAGTTCAAGCCCTCAAAATTCAAAAACAGAAGGAAACAGGGATGTAGCTCAGTGGCAGAGCACTCCTGGGTTTGATCCCCAGTACCACAAAAAAAAAGGAAGTAAGAAAGGGAAGGACAGGGAGGGAAAAGAAGCAAAGCTTCTCTTTGCGAGGACATGATAGATATCTGGAAAACCCTAGACTTTGGAGCTTAGAGAATCCACAATAAAACTAACTCACACAATCAAGGTATTCAGCAAGGTAAGTAAGAGAATAAATCAAGGTCGCTAGTAGTGTGCTGTGATCATACAGCGGTTAGTACTCTGCGTTGTGAGAATAAATCAATAGTCTTCATAAATATAATTAGAATATACAATGGGCTGGTGTGGTAGTGCACGCCTATAACTCCAGCACTCAGGGAGGGCTGGGACAGGCAGACTGCCATGAGTCTGAGGCCAACCTGGGCTACATACCAAGAACCTGTCTCAAAAAAAATGGGAAAAAAAGAAAATACAATGGGAGCGAAAGTGCCACGTACAATAGCAACAACAGAGTAACAAATTTAAAAAGAAATGTTTAAATGTATGGAAATATCATAGTAAATCCCATTAATTTGTACTATTAACATTTGTTTATAACTATAATAAAAAATAAACCATGATAAAGAGAAAGAAAAAGAGAAAAAAAAGATTAAAAATGAAGGAAGCAAAGGAGGGAAGGAAGGTAGGAAGGTGTAATGAAAAATGTGTAACACACAAAGGGAAGACACCCTGTTCAGGCTGGGGCGTCTAAACCCCACCCAAAGCAGTTCTGCATACCATCATTTATAAACGCAATTCAACCGCCACAGAAATAGCACAGTGAACCTGCAAGAGTAGCTAGGAAAATTGTGGAGGGGACAGTAGCACCCTCTCCAGACACGCACACTGCACTCAGAGCCTGCACTCCCCCTTAGGTTTGTTTCCAGTGCTGGTGTGTAGCAATTTGCATTCTGTAGAAGAGGCAAATGAGTACACATGTCGATGCCACTGAGCATAGAAGCCAACAAGGAAAAGTACAGCAAAGGGAGTCGTGGGGGCTGGCTACAACCGCAGGCATCAGCACCAGCTCAGAATCTGTAAAACACATCACCAGCTCTGTCTCTGAAAGGCTGGGGAGGCAGTCACACTCTCACAGCAAAAAGCACACCACTGCCTGAGGGTCACCGCTCCTTGAGACAGGGCTGACTCCAGCACAAGGGTAGCAGCTCAAGGACCTGGAATATCCTGCCAAGCCAAAGTCAGAACACGCCCACAGCACACAGGATCCAGCTACAGAGCCCCTCACTGGCCTGACCTGGGCAGCCTGGGCATCAGAGCAAAAACTTTAAGTGTGAGGAAGATGGCTTTTTCTCAGGGAGAAGAAAGCACAGTTAGCAAAGACTCATTCTGGAGAAAGAATCATCACTATGGGGTGGGGATTCACTGACAGGGTGCTCACAAGGTCTTGGGGTGGCTCCCTAGACACAGCATACTGGTCACCCAGGGAAAACAGGACGCTGACCATGAAGAAACAGCACAGCTCCTTGACCAAGCACTTGAATGCTGGGATGAGGAGTCAGGAAAAGAAGGCCCAGCAGGTCATGAACAGCAGGCCCAGGACAGCCATTCAGCCCATGCGGTGGCCTCAGGCTACAGGTACAACCTGGAACGTGGGAGGCTTCCCAGCAGCTGCGGCGAGAGGCCTCCCAGGCCACACTGTGTGCACACAATATGGTGTATGCTCAGCAATGCTACCCTTCGAGAATGTTGGTATGTGCCCGGTAGACAAGTCAATGTGACATTCTCAATAAAAACTCTGAACGCAGTCTAACATGCTCACCCAGCAGACAGTATCTCACATATGCTACCCCACTCACCACCCATCCCAGACAACTCCTCTGGAAAGAGGCACAGGGCAAAGTGTAGGAGTAGCCAGACACGGGCCTCCTGGGCCTGCCACATTAACATCACAAAATCGATCTCTGCAGCTGCAGATATGGGTAAATGGTCTCTGTTTAAAACGTATTCCCACCAAATACACACTGCGAAATGCTAGTTTGTTTTTGTTTTTGTTAGTACTGGGAACTGAACTCAGGGCCTGCACACCAAGTAATACACCCCCCTTTGAGACAGTGCCCACAGTGGGCTCTACCTGCCTCCTCCCGCCCGGAGCCTCCACGTGTGCTGGGATTACAGGCATGCACCACCACACCTGGCTAAATGTTCACTGGTCCATGTCTGCAGTACAGAGTAATTACATTCCTCCTGGGGAGTTGCTACATGTACATAACACACCTTAATTCTTGTTTTAATTAGTCAGAACAGGAAAAAATGAGCATCAGAATTTTCTTTTCACTCAGAGCAGAAGGATTCTGTCTGAGTTCATGAACACACAGCTGCAGAACACACAGAAGGCTACAGCCTAGCAGCACTGAGGTCATGGACTGGAGACACACAGTCCACATAGCCAAGCAGAAGGAAGGCTGGCAAGGACAGCGGGCCGAGACGGGAGCGGGGGTTTGCTGTGTGAAAACGAAACTGAAAGTAAGGGTTCTATACAGTTCAGACTGTACACCTGGCGGCCACCAGGGCAGTGAGACGGCTCCTAAGACTCAAGACACAGCACAAGGATCCCTCCCGGGGCTGCGCACGCAACAGGGGCAGAAACGCACAAGAACAACGTCATGTGCTGGGGTGAAGACAAGAGCGTCCCAGAGAAAGAGCACGGCCCAAAGCCAATCTGCAAACCGCACTTGTCTGACCCGGCTGGCAGGACATGCAGCCCCACCCAACACTCTCTTTTCCCGGAAGAAATACTCACACAGCACTCCGTCCAGTAAATGTGAAGGAAGGGGAAGGTGAGCAGAGCTTTGTTTCCTTCTTTGGGCAGCAGCTCCTCTTTGAACTGAACGAAGTTTGACTCGAGGTGGATCATCTTGGGGGCCCGACCATAGGACCTGCAGACAGTGTAAGAGCCATGAGACACGGCCAGATGATGTTAGGCAGGGCAAGGGGTGAACAGTAATATTCAATATGAGAGTGCAGAAGCGTATGTATTAACCATGTGTTACAACTGTAAGTACTCTGTCCAAAAACACTGCATGAACTATTTGCATGGCACACTGCATGTCCAGCCTAGCCGAGGCCAGACTCACCCCTCTAAAGCAGGAAGCCGGTGTCCCCAGTCAAAAGTGTCGCTTTAAGTTACTCAGGCCTTCAAGGACACTAATGCTCTTACGACAACCTGTACTAGCCAAGAAGCAGGATTATTTGGTGAAAAATAACAGGGCTTCAGTCTGTGGCACTCAAATAAAAGAGGGGTACAAACCTCTCTTTTTATCTCAACCCAGGAAAAAGGCACAGAGCTCACCTCAAGGCAGCTCGCCTAAGGTAGGGAGGAAACAGCACCCAGCTCTATACGCACAGAATACTAATCACACCACGTGTCTTTTCCCAGTTTTCTCCACCTATAGCAGTGGTGTCTTTTCAACCTGTGACTAGATTTTAACCCAATCTAAGGATGCACTGTGTGCAGAGCACCAATCATATTTTCCACAACTGTTTGTATGCTTGAACTTACGAATGTCCTTTCATTTTCTTACATTTTCTTCTTCTTCGTTCATATGAGATATGATGCCAAGCACAATTTACTGTGAGAACGATGACTATAAAGGAGAAATTAATGAAAAGCGCCACACATTTTGGAAAGCCAAGGGGTCTCTCCCTAGACCTCAAGTTTCTGGGCACAGAGAGTGCCTGGCCTGGGGTCTGAAGGCCCAGGGAAAACAGTGGCTACCCAAGGGCAGCGTGGCCAACAAGACATCTCTGTCACAGCCTTACAAGTTAGCGCCTGCACACGTATGCACTTTCTCTTTGCAAGTGCTCTACTTTATCCTGTCATTTCTGAGATATAATCAGGTTTTCTTTTTCCACTCTTTTGATCTCCTGGCTTGAAAGCTTAAGTATCTATTTCTATTATTCTATTAAATTTTTACTTTAAATATCCTGCAAGCTACAAACTATATCTTGTCTAAGGTTAATCTTGAGTTTTTCACACAAAGAGTAAAATCAAGCCAGGTGTGGTGGTGCACACCTGTAATCCCAGCACTCTGGAAGGCAGAGGCAGGAGGATCACAAGTTCAAGTCTTGCCTGGGAAACTCAGTGATTTAGCAAAACCCTGACTCAAAAATAAAAAGTAAAAAAACAGGGCTGGGGATGTAATTCAGCATAAAGACCTAGGTTCACTCCCAAGTACCCAACCCTCCTAAAGACTAAAGTCGATGTTCTCTGCAGGATGAACCCTTAGCTATTTCACAGAGGTATGGTTCGTGGTTGGGGGAAGTCTGAAGACAGCCCCGCTTACCGCAGTGTTCCCAAATGCAAGCAGCAGGGCTGTGCAGCTGCCCACAGCCAGGAGCCTGGGTCCCTCAGCCTTGTCATCGAGGTTCGGGAGAGGCTGCGACCCTCACAGAGGGTCAATGCTGAGGGAGTTCCAGGACAAGAGGGATTTTCTCTCAGTGCATTGCAAAGACCATTCTTGGTGCCATGCTGAAACGCTGCTAAAATGTGCACCTGGCTCTCCCGCCCCTCCCTGACCTCCTGGCTTGGTGTGTGCTTTCTCTTCATCTGCACGTCACCCAGCAGGCTCCTTGGCATCCTGGCCCACCTCTAGGAACCTCTCAGTCTGCTCTGTGAGTCCCTCCCCTACCCTGACCACCCCTGAGGGCAGTGGGCTTCTGCCTGCATCTTCAGCTTCCGGCTCCTGTCACCATCTCTGCTCTCAGCAGCAGCCTCCAAGCTCCAAGCCCAGGCTTCCAAAGTACTTGTCTGCTCTTCAGCTCTACCGCCGTTCTGCTGCATTTTCCTTCATTTCCAAGACCTAACCCATTTTTACTTTTCATCAGAGTAGTAGTACCTGCTGTAAAACACCGCATGGCATTAGGACGCTTTTGGCTGCACACCCTCCAGTCAACCTTCTCTGCCTCCCTTCTGTCTGCCTCCTAGGGCTGCCCAAAACATCAGTCCCTTGCTCACACTTCAGGACACAACACTTCACAATCAAGGTGCTGGCAGGGTCAGCTCACACTGGAAGCTCTGTGGAAGGTTTCTTGTCCCTGCCCAAACCTCCAGTGGCTGCCGGCTGTCCCTAGCATTCCCTGGCCTGTGGCTGAATCCCTCTAACTCTGCCTCCGTTGCTCCCATGTGCCTGTCTTTTCCCTGTCTGTCTCTTTTAAGGACACTATCAGATTTGAGGTCTCCTTTCATCTAGAATGCTCTCATAGTAAGCGCCCTACCTTATTAACAAAGTAATTATAAAAGAAAGTCCCATTTCAATGTTTTGGGAGGACATATCTCTTCTAAAACTGCACAGTCCCTTTCCTAAGCTAGATGGGTACCTCCTTAATCCTCTTCTATGGAAGAGAACACGGCAGGCTTTCCTGAAACGAGTTCTCGTGCATGGGCACACGCGCCTGGCTGCAGACTTACTGGACTGAGCTGTCCCTGCTCAGAACGTACACTTGCTAGGCTTAGCATGGTCCTCCTCCCTCCCTCCTACAGTGCTTGGATCCTTGGGTCTGGAGCTTCTGTGTCCACACAAGGACAGGTGGGTGAGAGCTGCACCTCACTGCACAGACAGGGTAGGACTCTGAGCTAACTGCTCCTTATGCACACCTCTGCCACCCCCTTTCCCAGCCCTGGACTCATCCCTGCCTTCCAGGTCTGGCATGTTGTTATGTGTCACCAACTCACCTTTACTCACGAAACCTAGCCTGCGGCTCAACTTTCTTATACTTCTTTCCCAACTTGTCTGCCTTCCTTCTCCCAAAACTGTGTCCCCCACTCTCAGCTGCTGTCACCTTGGCCCACTCTGTCCACTGTGGTTTGAATGTGTCCCCTGGCTCTCAGGCTGGAAACTTTACCCCCAGTGCAACAGGAGCAGGGCCTTCCTGCAGGTATGGGCTCGGCCCTCCATCCCCATGTGATGTCTTCCTCAATGAACTGCACGAGAGAAGGTCCTCTCTGGGCATTGCCCCCAACCCTGGACGACCAGCCTCTGGAACCATGAACAAACGAATTTCTGTTCATGACAATATCCCAGACTGTGTGTCCCCCTACAGCAGAACAGCACAGCTAGGGAGCTGTCTTTGCTGTCACTGCCATTTAATCCTTTACTCTCGCTCCATGGGCTTCAGCACAGTGAGGGAATTAATATACATATTAAGACTATGTAGTTTCTCTATTTTGTTTCTTCTTCTCTCCTCTTGTTTCGTGAACAAACTTTATATCTGCATCTTTTTAAATGTTAAACAATACATGCTTATTTGAAATCCTTTCCAGATGACTCCATTTCTTCAGGTATCAAATTCTTCCACTGGTTGAATTATGTTCTTTCCCTGACAGCACTGGGCCTCCTTACAAATGGAACAATTCCTCTCCCAAAGCATTCTCTCATACTGTGTACTCCTTATGTGAAACAGGAGTGACCAAGTGCTTACCTTGTCAGACACTATAATCAGGCATGGAAATGAGACTACCTTCACCACATAGCCACACTACTTCTCCACGTTAGCAGGACAAAACTAGTGATCAGAAATAAATAATATAGAATCAAAACTCCCTGGACGTGGGTAACAACAGGAAACTGTGTACACACTGGTTAAAACCTGATTACCAGTACTGATAAGTTGAAACACAAACATCTTCCACAAAGAACATCTTTCCTGAAACAACTCCTGTGATTTCCTCTGGCCAAGGCATCAGATGACTATGACACCACACCAGGGAATCCACAGGGATGGCTGAACTTCTCCTCCATTTCTTTTTATCTCTAAGGAGCATCTTTCTGCTGCAGGACCTGGGTGGAGAGGGAGCAGGTACAGATCTCCTCTGCAAACCGCCTGTGCCTGCTGACACTGTGACTAACCAGGAAGAATCAGAAGTCATTCCTACAAAAGTGGGTCCTTTCTTTTGAGACAGGACCTTACTATGTAGTGCAGGCTGGCTCTGAACTCACTTATGCAGAAAAATGGTCTTTAACACAAAAATAAAGGTCATCTATGTCTTATTAAGAATGCCCTCCTGGGCTGGGAGTGCAGCTAGGTGTTTATCTAGGACGTATGACACCTGGGTCCAATCGCCAGCACCAAAAAGGTGAAAAAGAAAATCATCTACACCTTAAAGAATAACAGCCCCTGACTACATGAAGCCACTCATCTTCAAAATATACTTTTTTTTGGTTTTCTGAGACAGGGTCTCATTATGTAACTCAGATTGGCCTTGAACTTGCTATCTAGCCAGGGCTGGCCTCAAACACACAGTGATCCTCCTGCCCCAGCCTCCCCAATGAGGGGGTTACAGGTGTACACCACCATGCCCACCTTAAAATGCACTTTATTTTTTTTGCGGGGGAGGCAGGAGTACTAGGAATCAAACTCAGGACCTTGCGCTTGCCAGGCAGGCGCTTGTGCAGTTGAGCTATATCCCCGGTCCCAAAATGCACTTTAGAATGAGGCTTTTAACTTGTACTATGTCACTTGCGCCCCTGAATGCCTAAAAACCAAAAAGGGAGAAACAGCCAAACAGCAGACCCCATACCTCCTCCATTCCATCGGTTCTCTCGGAAGCTGCTGAGAAAGCGTGGGGTAAATAGAGGTAAATAAATTCTGCTCTCCAGCACCTACAATGTGAACACAGAGAGACCCAGTTATGGCATTTTTAGGCAAATACAGGCAAAAAGACCTCAAAGCTTACAAATCTGATATTCTTAGCTTTATACTCAATAAATGACATCACAAAATGAGACTGTTTCATTCCTTTAAAGGATTAGTCTCAAAAAAAAAAAAAAAAAAAAAAAAAAAAAACAGCACTTGACAAATGCAGGTAAAGGTAGCCCTTCCAACACCCTGAGCTGTGGCCACAGCTTTCCCAGGGGGAGAAGACGGGTCTTAAAGGGGAGTGAGCTGCCCGAGCCCAGGCTGGGACAAGATGAGCTGACAGGCCCCACTGCTAGACCGCCACTGCTTTCTGAAATGAAGGTCAGACAAAAAGTGCCACTGGGAAAAAGCAACCTGCAGAGGTGAACATGAGCTTCTCCTGGACACAAATCCATGTTTATGCAATGCCAGCAGGAGCCAGGATGCCACATGTGCCCCATGGGCAGATGGGCATCTTCCATCTGGTCCTCGCCATCACTCTGGGAGGAAACCACCAACAGGACCCAACCCACAGCCAGGAAAGCAAGGCTGGGAGGGGAGCGCACACCACACAGATCCAGTCCCAAGCCAGGTGTGCCTGATGTCACACCACTCAGCAGCTCCAGCTTAGCCTGGACAGAATGCAAAGGCCCACTCTGTCCCCACAAAGTGATTATAAGTCTGTACTACCCTTACGCTAGAAAGGAGCTTTTTAATACAGATGACTAAAATTATTACACTCAGGATCCTCTTTAAGCAAAACCATTTTCCTAATTGTTTTTATATACTGATCTTAAGTCTTAGGGAATTGATGTGAACTATTAACAAATTTGCTTCTTTGCTGTGATGAATCTAGAGGGAAAAAAAAGCCTCCCGGAAATCACAATGTCAAGTCACTGCACAGAGAAATGACGTTATTTCTGGGCAGGTGGGAGGTGGGGCTGGGTGGCACTGGGAGCCTGAGAGCCCATCCCTGTCCAGTTCCCTGTCCAGTTCCCCTCTGCCACTGACCAGCTGACTGCACTTGGAGGACTAGAGCAGCAGGGAGCTGGGACACAGAGAGAGTAGGTCAGCACACGTATATAACTTTCAACAAGGCCTGGTGAGCAGAGGGTGAGAGGGCTGCAATCACTATATTTTTGTTAAAATAAAAACAATTTTTTGAGTTTATCACTTTCTACCTTGATCATGTATTTAGTAACTGTTTTAGAAATAAAGTAAAAAAATCTTCAGTAGCCAGGTGTGGTGGTGCACACCTGCAATCCTGGCCCTCGGGAGGCTGAGGCAGGAGGATCATTGAGAGTCTGAGACCAGCCTGGGCTACAAAGTGAGTTCAAGGCCAGCCTGAACTGCATAATGAGACCTTGTCTCAAAAAGACAAAAAAAAAAAAAAAAAAGGAAAATCTTCAGGATTTCAATGGTGGAGCATGCGCCTAACACTCCTAAGGTTCTGGGTTCCATCCCCACATGGCAAAAATAAAAAAACCTTTTGGAAGTTTCAAGTTTCTGATCTTTGATTGCCAATTTCTGTTGCTTCATTAAATACTTTCAAGATTAATATGTAAAAATCTATATTCATTACTAACTGGAAACTAACCTATCATACAGATACTTTCTCATCTTCTGCTAGGTTTTATACATAACACACACACACACACACACGGCCTGTGTACCCTCACGTGTATGCACAAGAGACACAGTGGAGAATGAAATGCCTCTGCATGATACGCTCCCTCCCACAGGACGCTCTCTGCCATACAGGAAGGTCTACCTATGTGGAGCGTAAGATAGGACAACTTTTCTTACATTCTCTCATGGATGACTATTTAGCCTGTGTCTTCATCCAAAAAGCCATAGATCAACCAGAACATCTACCAAGGGAGAGGATGTCAGCTGACCTGTGACCCTGAACCCCAGTTTCTGTAAGGGGCTAAATTGTGCCCCCCCCCGACTCTTATGATGAAATCCTGACCTCCACCTTAGAATGTAACTGCTTTGAAAGATAGGACCTTTGATGTTGACATGTTGCCTAAGTTAAAACGGGGTCCCAGAGAGGGGCCCTAAGCCAACCTGCCAGGTGCCTTCATAAGGACAAAAAAGGTACACAAGCAAGGACTGCTGATGCTCAAGCCAAGGAAAAGCCCGACACACTGACGCCCTGACCTTGCACTTGCAGGCCCCAGAGCTGAGAGAAGACAGGTTTCTGCTAAGCTGTCCCAGTAACCCTGACTACTGAACAAGAATATGGAGAAAAACTGGCCTGATTTTCTCAGCATACACGGCTATTATTATTTTACTCTTACATGTTTATATCAAGTACTATGAACATGAGGGATGCTTAAAATGGGGTGTTGGCACCAGTGCAAGAAGGATTGGAAAGAGCTCAAAAGAATTCCATCTCAGCTCCCAAGACAGTCACTCAACTACAGCAGTACCTTGGTTCACAAACTCAATTCTTTCCGTGATTCTGATTGCAAACCAAATTGGACTACAACCAAATCAAACTCAATAGTTAGGTTCAGTGTTGCCCTCATGGGGAAAGTGGATTCAGTTCTCATTTAATTTGGTTTGTGACCAGCACTGTGGAAAGCTAAGTTCATGAATCGGGGTGCCACCGCACCAGGGCCTAAACAAAGCCTGCCTGCAGTTGCACCCTTCCTGGGTGGCAGACGCCACCTCCCCAGGGCAGGTGCCAGGCCCAAGGAAGCTGGAGACATTGCTACAAACACAGAGGAGCTGAAGGCAGGCCACCTGGGCGCAGAGAACTCTGCTGGAAATCGAGGCTCTGCTCTTCGAACCCGAGAAGCTATTAAAACGGCCAACCCAGACCACTTATTTCCACAGCTAAGATTTTTTTGGGGAGGGAGTAGAGATTTATAAGGCAATTTATAAGAGTAACTCATAACCACCCCACAAACACAAATCTCTCCCCTGTGCACCTCCAGTTCTTGGGGCCAACTAGGCCAACACGGAGACAAGAGCACAGGGCAGTCAGGCTGAGGGAGTTATGCCACCCGCAGGTAGCTGCAGGGATGCAGGGACACCTTGCCTGGCACACCCGACTAAAAGGCTGGTACACGAGCCTGCATGTGATGGGGCAGTAAGAGAAGAAGCAGGAGGCAGCTGAGCTCTGCAGAGCAGGGTGCTTCCTCTTATACCCTGCCCAGACCCCCAGGGTGCCCAGACTCGGAATCCCAGATAGAGAGGCAGAGTCCTGTGTCTGACCCATGAACCACTCAGCTTTCTCCTTACTAGACCGGTGCAGCTGCACTTCCTGTTTCAGCGGCCAGAGGAAGACACCGACTTCCCTGTCTCCCAAGATACTGTACATTCTGTGAAGCTGTTATGGGCTCAGACTCAGGCCCTAATCACAGGCGGTGGGAAGGATAACAACACAGTGACTGACATCTGACAGGTGACATCCCAACACACTCCAGCTGTTGCTTAAACAGCACAGACTGGGTGGCTCAAAAGCAACTGACATTTATTTCTCACAGTTCTGCAGACTGCAAGTCCAAGGTCAAGGTGACTGTGGACTGGTGAGGGTCTGCTTCGTTACTGGTCTGCCTCGTTCTCACTGTGTCCTCATGTGATGCAAGGCGTGAGGAACTCTGGGGGCCTCTGCCAAAAGAACACTAATCTCTTTCCTGGGCACTCCATGGCCCAGTCCTCTCCGTGAGGCCGCAGCCCCTCACTGCCACACTGGCGTGACCGCACAGAGGACAACCAAGGACTCGTGCAGGTGGAGAGAAGGCCCCTGCTCACTACCATGTGAGAGCAGAACTGTGGCCTAGCCTGCCCTGCAGTTTTCACACCAGCCAAGGAGAGAGGGCTGCTCCACATCCGGAAACTGAGGCACCTGAACTTCCCAAGTGGCCCAAGATCAAGCAGCTAATAATTGCCAGAACTGGGGTTCAAACCCGACCACTTGACTTTCAACCCAGTATGCTGCCACTGCTCTGCATCTCAATTTGTGATTTCACTAAGTATATTAATTAACCTGCTGAAGCTGTCTTGACAGTGGTTGGTTCCCAAAACCTGCCAACAGGGTGAACGTGTCTGACATCCGCTTCTCCTTGTACCAGCCTTAAACATGCAAAGCTGTAAAGGCTCTAATCCAGAAGTACAAAAGGATCAGGAAACTGTAACGTGGGAAAGGGGCAAAGGAAAACACAGTGGTCAGCCAAGCTGTTGCTAGTGTATGGCTTGGCTGAATAAAACTGGATGCCGCTATTCTCAAGATCAGTGTTTGCATTGGAGAATGACCCTGGGTGTTATGGTTTGTGTCTAGATGTCACCCCAAAGCCTCATGCAGTCATGGGGGCGGCTTCTTGAGTTTGTGATGGATTCAGAGTCCAATGCTGGGATTACAGGTGTGAGTGCTACATCCACCCTAGGGCGGGTAGCCTGCGTACAATATAAGGAGGGAAAGAGGCCTGCTCTCTCTCCTCTCTCTCCTCTCTTTTCTTGCTTTTGCTGTCACCCTTGAACTGTTGCTCCTCTGCCCCCCACCGTGCCTTGCAGTCAGCTGATTATGGACTGAAACCTCCACAAACTGTGAGCTAAATACACCTTTCCTTAATTTTGGGCACTGGGTATTCCGTCTCAGCAACAAGAAAAAAATAACCAAGACACTGGGCAAAGATCGTATATAAGCCAGGCACGGTGGCACACGCCTATAATCCCAGCACTCGGGAGGCTGAAGCTGGAGGATGGCTAAGAGTTAAAAAAAAAAAAAAAAAATCTTATATAAAAGTTTAAAATGTTTGTCATTACTGTGATGCATTATAGTTTTTCTTGGGCTTCCTTGCTCCCAGTATTCTCTTTGTAAAGGGAAATACCGGCAGTAACTAAGACGTGGGAGCGTTTCAACCTGTCAATGAGACAGACGGCCCTCGTCAGCATCTGACGGGCCACATCTTATTTCCAAGGGTTCAATGTGCTCAGACTCCACAGCCCTAGTGGGCACAAAGACAGGGACGGA